AGTGACCTTCCATGTAAGATGTCAATGCCTATTTACAATGATACCCTTTAAACCTCTGATCAAGTAAGATTTTCAGACGACATTAATTAAACCATGAGATTTTAAAAAGTAAAAATCTACCGCGGTACTGATCTCATAATCTATAGAGCATCATCTATATATACTTTGCTTGTATGTCTATTTTTTTTGTATCCAATAAACGTCAAAACGACTAAACCGATTGGTTTATGAATGCACAAAGGAATTGAGTTTTTGCCACAAACTAAGATTTTCTAATTCTTATAATTTAGCGACCCGTTTTCCTAGACCTTTGATATTTCAAACTTTTAATTCTGGTAGATCAAATAATCTTAGTTTGAAATATCAAAGGTTTACACCATCAGGTTGCAAAGATATAGGGGATAGAAAATTTAAGTTTGTTTCAAAAACTCGATTCCTTTGTTTCTAAATAATTTTGATTTGCGTAAAATTTTGAAAACTTCACGGACAAATTTTAAAATCCTCCGACATTTGTTGTTATTTTTTATATTGTACGAAGAGAAAATGCTCACAAATAGAGCCACAAATAGTTTATAAAGCCACAAAGATCATTAGAAAATGGGCGCATAGAGCCCTAAAGGCCTACTATATAATTATACGGGAACAATGTGCAATGTACGTCCTGGCTCCAACTACCTCTAACATCTATTAACTGATAAAAAACAGAGTTTTGTAAATAAATATTTATCTTAAGCTGCTAACAGTATGTCAAAATAAAAACAAGGCTTTAAAAAATCAAATATGCAAATCATTAGACTTTTAATCTTTCTAAGTAATATATACATATTATAAATATCAAAACGTTTTAGATTTTAGATTTTATAGTGCACAACTGTTTATGGAAAAAAATATGAAATGTTTTCTGAATATCTGGGAACTTTTGTGATGGAATCTCATAATCTCGATATCCACAGTGGACACTTTTAATTTAATTAATATGTTTCCCTTCAGAGCTGAAGAATGTCGAATGCAGGATACTGTGAATACCGATCGCTTAATCTGGATATCCATAGTGAACACTTTAAATTTTCTGCTTAATCCAACTTTTTAAAAATCTCTACTGAATTAAGTTACGTCATGATTACATAATACAGATACGATGCTATATCGATTGGACTAATATTTGACTGAACAATCGTTGTATTGCAATTAAATCTACTGTTTTCATTCTGGTCTCTAGTCCATATAAACATTAAAGCTTTTGAACAAAATTGAGATTCATGTTAAGATAAACTTACCAATTCGCATCGCCATTATAATGATCAGTGGTAAAAGCATCTGCCACTACTCTGTCCTATTTAGACACAGTCCTCGGCCCTTTAGCCTGTCCTAGTCTTAGAGTTAAAGCAGAAATTATCGTAACCCTAAGCTTAGCCGCAAAAAAAGCCATTACGTCAGGTTTGTGTCTTCTTTATAAATGCTAATTAAAAATTTTAAAATTAGCTCAATTCAACAAATATTTTTTTCAAAAGGAGTACTATAAACGTTGTAATCTTTTGTCCAAACTTGTATTAGCTCAATCGAACATTAGCTCAATCGATATAGCACCACAAATGCAGAAAATTTAAAAACCGGTTTTCCAAAAGTCTGAAAATAAATCTTCAGAGCTGGGAACTTTTAATCCCGATCGTTTAATTAATCTGGAGATTAATAATAAGAAGAAACCAAACATTTTTTAATCTGGAGATTGAGAAAAAGGGGAGATCAGGCATTGATCTCGATATACACAATTCAAAAGTTTTCAGCTCAGATTACATTAATCTTAAGATTACTAAAAAGAGAGAATCAAGCATTGACCTAGATATCGAGGTCAATGCTTGATCTCCTGAAAATATCATGGGTATTTAATCTGTATTAATCCTGTATTCTCTTTAATGTGGGGTGGGGTGGAGAGTGTGTGACACCAGTTCTCGTTAGATCACTGAAGTTAAGCACACTTGTCCACAGCTAGTTACTGGATTGGTGTCCAGGCTGGTGTTCACGGGTTCGATTCCCGTACTCCACACAAACCTGTGGTTTCAAAAACCTCTGAAGCCGACATCTGGTTTAGCAGTTATGACCACCTGACGGATGTAGGAGGACAGAGGGGCGGCTGTCAACAACTCTCGCAGCGAANTGTGAAAATTTACATGATTTTCTAAATTCCACTCTAATATATATTCTATTCTCTTTGGATATATCTTATATTTCTCATATTTTTGTAAACCCGAAAGTTATTATCCAGTAGATAACGATATTTCACATTTGAACTGGTAATAAAAGTGTGTACCGAATGTAATTAATAATGATAAAAATGATAATAATAGAATAATTAATAATGAAAACTGTAATGAAAATCTAACTATAATAATTATAATTTAATAAAAAATATTGCATAAAGGAACGGTCGTAGAAATTTCCCCTCCATCTGAAGAAATGCATGCACAATTCACAACGGAACCCTTGAAACCATATTCTAATTATTGATGAAAAAAGTAGTTTTTTAGCATGTTAATTGTTCAATACTGTTTGCTTTCTGTTGTGGTTCCCCTCCCCCTTTTTTCTTAAATATTGTATCCGCCCGAGAACCCAATCTATTGATTAGGTTTAAAAAAATAAGTTCATACACGACTTTGAGACGTCGCAACGCCCTGGTCTACTGACTTACTAATACTTTCTAGTCAGATACAATTACAGACTACAACTTGTGATTTACAAGGCACTTGTTTCTAGTTTGTGTTAACAGGAACACTATAGTTTCACTAGAAGTAAATATTTCCATTTACTGAAGGATTCATATCTCTAATTGGATAATGAGATAGATAGAAAGATAGATGTTACCGCAATACAATTTCTATTGGTTCAGAATAGACACCAAACACATGGCTGAACCCTGATTGGATCAGGCGCTAATGGACTCGGCATACAGGAGTGGGAAGTACTGATATATTTTTACATGAGAGCCATGCCACATGGAATCACAGGTCCTCGGGGAAGAGTCTCGATACCAGAGTTACCGATTGGGAATAAGAAACCCAATCAAATAAGCATGATTTTAAGAAAAACAAAAACATATAATCATATGTCATTTAATGAAATTAGGAATTTCTATAGAAATAATTGGCTATTTAATAAGCAGAATATAATGCGTACAATAATGTTAAAAATAGAAGAAAAATCTTCATTGTTGTTCAAATCAGGGAAGTTTTGGTATTCATTGAGATAGTGCAAAAATATTTTTAAAGTGCAGAATTGAATTGAACTCTCTCTGTTGACAGTACAGTCAGCACAGGCCACCATAAGCTAAATCTCTTGTCAAAGTACAGCCAATTAGAGCTCGACATTCAAATTTACATGTACGGGGTCGGAAGGCTTTGGCTACTCTGGTAAAACAGAGCTGAAAACTTTGAAATGGTGGATATCAAGATTATATGCTTAAACTCCTGGTTTCCTAAACCCAAGATTATTTTTAAACGCATTCGATATCCAAGAAAGGAGTTAAAAATTTAACCAATCAGCGTATCATGTTAAGATGTACTCTTTAACTTTTGAAAAACCGGTTTTGATTTCTGGTGTTGATGGTGTCATATAAATTGAACTAAACATCGATTGAAGGAACGTAACTTTTGGATTAATGTTTGTTAACCCTATTCCTGCTGGGGGGGGGGGGTCAATTTGACCCCCACCTGTGGTTTTTTTTACATAACTCAAAAAGTATTGGTCTGAGGCTGTTGAAATTTTCTGACTTTTCTTACATACCCAAAGCCCTCCCTTTAGGCCTAAAACCGGGCTTTAATACTTACTGCCTGAGTCCTCAGGCACACTGCCTGAATGACTGCTTTTGCCTGTAACAAACTAAATCTTTGTTTCGATCCACTTTCACTTGTCAGATTTTGATAAAATTTAGCTTTTTGGAAAGCCTATGACATAAGAAAACGGATTGCACAAGTTTTGCGAAAAAAAATTGCAAATTTTTTGCAAACAACCTGTCAAAGGAAATTAATTTGCACATTTTTAGTTTTTCTTGATTAAAAATCAGGTTATTTAAAATTTTGCAAAAATTTTTGCATATTTGAAATGGCATGGTAAAGGGCTTTTCAAAAATGTATAATTTTTCATTTTGTGGACAATTTTTTGCAAACATTTTTACTATATTACTGGATTTTGCGATAAAAAATTCAATTTTTGCAAATTTGCAATTTTTTTAGCAGATTCTAAAAGTAGAGCACAAGAGCTTTCTAATGATGTATCATTTGTCATATTTGGACATAAAACATGGGATTTAGAGGGGGGGGTCAAATTGACCCCCCCCCAGCATATCCTGGTTTTCAAGTACCCCAGCAGGGATAGGGTTAAGACTATAACGTTCAAAATTATAATAGTCCTAAAATATGTTTTTTAATATTTTCATATTAACATGATTTAATTTATATTTGTTTAAATACTCTAAAAGTTTGCTTGTGAACAGCTGAATTTAATTCAATCGGATATTAGTCCAATCGATGTAGCATTGTATCTGTAATTGATATCAAATGTAACTTTTATACAGTAGAAATATCCAAAAAGGGGATTATAAGAAGAAAATCAAAAGTGTGTACATTGGATAATCAGATTAAGCGTTCAGGATTAAGGATATCTCATTCTAAAGTTTTCAGCTCAGGATGGATATAGCTATAAGTTAATTTTACTGATGCACAATGCGCATTTTGGTTGCGCTAACAAGCTACGAACATAAAGAAAAGAAAATACAGAACTAGTACGAACACGATGATCTATATATATTAAATTTTGAAAAGCATATAAGGCAGTTTCATAAAAAAAATCTCTTTTCAAATGATTTTATAAATCTAAAAAGTTATAAAATATTCATGTGATGATCAACATTTTGGACATGTAAGAAGAATTGGGTTTCCAAACAAATTGATAAAGTTACGATCAAAGCACCACATAAATTTGTAGTGAAGTAAAAAACGCGCAAGTTGAAAAGTGAAAACGTCGCAAATTTTTTATTTCTGTTGAAAGTTTTACGGATACAAAATGTTTACTCCAGAAGTCCAAGGAATACTACTGATTGTAATTCTTGGCTTGACACTTGCAATAATATCAGGTGAAATAAAGTTGTATGAACAGAATGGTCTGTTGTTAACAAAACAATTTAAAGGTACTATGGTTTTCGGTCTGTGTTGGTTCAAGATGATTGAAACTATTTCAAAATCCAGACGGGGTTCAAGGTAGGCTAAATTTTTTAACGTTCATATTTAAATTGGAATTTTTCAAACTTGTAAACTGAAAGAGATATATTATAGAGGATTATCAGTTTTAAACAAACCATTTTGTTTCTTCATGATATATGTATATATGTACCCACCATGTTTTCATATCATCAAATATGTAAAATTAAAATTAAAACAGCAAAGTAGAAATCATGATTGCAATTATATTGATCGTAAAAACATCATCAAGGTTTTGCTTCATGGTAAATTTGATTTTTTTAGAAGACCGAAGTCAACTCGTAAGAAGAGTGGAACGACTGATGATAAAAATACCAACATCTAGTTTTAGACCATTTTTTTCTAAATTCAGTGTTTTTTAACAACTTAAACGTTTTTTTGGATAATATTAAATCAGTAATAAATCATTTATAATATCCGATTTGAAGATTTTAATTTTTTTTTCTGTGTAGTCTTCAGTAGTAAGTGTTCAGACCTTTAAAAAGATATATCCAAAATTAAGAAAGAAATAGTTATTTTATTAAAAGACTTAAATCTTCTTTCAAAGATATTTATTTTTATAAGACAGCCAATATAGTTATTAATGTGGTTTCTTCATATAATTGATTGTAAAAGAGGAAAAATGTTTATTATTTTTGTAAAACTTTTATGAAACTTTTGATGATGAATACTTGAATTGGTTCTTCAGCATTTATCCAATTAAAAAAGTTTTCTGGTCAATTAGAATACAACTGTAAAACAATTTTCGGGCCATTCTTGTCTTTTTTGAGCTATTTTCGGGCATTTTTTTACTCATACGCTAAATAACATCGAATGACAATGGAACTCATGGCGATCGAAAACAAGTATTGTTTAGGTTCTATTCTAATATGTTTTGTGAAAACTTCTTTAAAATATTCTTAAACGGACTAAAGCATCTTCTACCTAAGTTTGAAGACGACATTTGAAAGCCTTCTATATGCGAAATTTTAGACTTTGGCTTTGGCGCGTGAAATTGTCAAAATTTAGACTTAAATACTTTACCACTGACCGTGTACAGCTTATGTACTTATAGCTGGCCGAACGGCTGGACAAAATTGGCCAAAAGTTTTAGAATTTTAAACTTCTACGAACATAGGTATAGTGCGTATATATACGAACATATAGTGCGTATATATACGAATATAGCTATAGTGCGTATATATAAAGGAAAACAAAATCAATAAATAAAGGCTGTTTAATCTTTCACTTATTTCATTCCAATACTTTCTATTTTTGAAGCAAAATCTATACTTTTTATGACTCTCTCTCTCTCCCTCACTAAATTTTGATTCTTTCACAATATGTACATTGATAAAATAGTTTATTGTAAAAAAACATAAATAAATAAGAATTTGTTATTTCTGATTCTCAGTGAAAGGTTTGAATATCATCCAGTATATCATGCAGGTAACCGACAAAAAAGTTCTCTGGAAAAAAGTTTTCGGAAATAAAGTCCTAAATTTTGGTACTAAAAAAGTCCTCTGGAAAAAAAGTCCTAGAAACAAAAGTTTTAAATGAAGTCCTATCATTTTTCAGACTTAATATTCTAGAATTTTTTTCTGGTTCCAGTATGATTTTTTACAAAACCGTCCCCGGAAAAAAGTCCTATTATAGCAGAAAATGCATGGAAACATAGAATGTTTGCAATCATTAAAAAAGGGGCTTAATATTAAAACTACTTCTGTCAGCATTCAATATGCAGATGCTGTGAAGAATATTAATAAAATGGATATACATATAAATACAGATAAATCTTTGAAATCATAAACACTTCTGTCTTTCTGTATATGTGCTCGTAACCATAACTTTAAAGATTCATATTCTAAAGTAAAATCATGAATTCTAAACATTTATCTTGGCTTGGCAATGAAAAATACATCCTCTTTTCTAAATACTTCAATCCTTTACACTGTAAAGCCATGCAGCCTTTAAAACTCAGACGTCTAAAAAACCAACGCGTGTTGAATAAAAGAATGTTAAGTTATTGAAAATCAAACATTTAGAAACTATTCTATTATTAGCATAAAACCTAAAAATTTAACCTTTTTAAATTTCGTAGTTAAATCATCTGCGTGAGAAGTTTTCAATAGTTTGAGTATAAAAAGAGATACAATACTTTTATTGTTTGAGATTTTACTTAAAAAAATCAGATTTATATCACTCTAAAATTCAGAAATTATTTGATTATAAAAATTATAAAAAAAGTGTCCTAATTTTGACACAATGGTTAGAAGAAAAGTTTTCTTTATGAAAACAACTCAGACATGACCTCATTTTCACTTAAGACTTATATTCTTGGTTTTTTTTTCTTCGGGACTTTAATTCCTTCGATTTTATTTCCTGAGACTTTATTGGCAGCCTCCATATTATTTTAGGAAAAAAGTCCCAGGAACCTAAAACTCAGGACTTTATTTCCAGTGACATGTTGTCCTAGAATTTCAGAAAATTGAGACTAACAAAGTTTTTATTGCCAGTTTTTTCAAGAAACTTTTCTGTGAGTTTCTTACAGTGAAACCCTTAATAAGTGATAGATCGGAAGAATTTATCAAATGTCGTCTTGACAATTTTTCAATGAGTTTTATACTATATTACGTAAATTTCAGTATTTGCGAAAATAAATAAATAGCCATGAATATGCGGGAACAGTTTTAAAGAGTTCCATATAATCATTTAATTAAAAAACTAAATATCTGCAACATTCCATTATCAGAAAGTGAAGAATACGACATTTGATGAATTCTTTCGATGTATTCGTTATTAAGGGTTTCACTGTACATAAATTCATAATGCAGGAACGGAAGAACTACAGTAATTTTGTTGTACTTTGCAGAACTGAAACTACAAATTCTAAAGTTAATATAATTTAAAGATTAAAAAATGATACTATGTACAGTGGTTCACATACTTTGGATGTGTACAGTATTATTGTACAAATGTACAGAATGAAGCAAATTAGCACCGCTTTCACATTGAAAATTATAATTTTGAAAGCTTTTTAATTACTAGCCTCAAACTCCAATTTTCAAACCCCTATATCTTTGCATCCAGATACTTTCAACAAATTAAGCTTTTGATATTTCTAACTACGAAGTCAGCTAAATGAAATAATCTTAGTTTGAAACATATAAGGATGAAACGTCACTAGATTGTAGTGTTATAGCAATTAGAAAATTTTGAGTTTAGAACAATTTATCAATTGCCTGGTTTACTTTATATCAAATCCGAAAATTCTAAATAAAAATGTTTAAATTGTTCAATAAAAACTAGGGATAAAGGATAAGGGATAAAGTTAAATTCTTAATTTCTAATCTTTATGTCTTCACAATTCAATATGATGGTGTAAACCTTTGCTTTCTCAAAATGTATAAAATCCATAGAAACACAGTTAAAGTTAATTAGTTGCTATTGTATGAGTTTGAGGCAAGTCATCAGGTCTATGCTAAATTCAAATGTCAAAATCAAAGTGTAGAAAATGCTCAATAAATGGAGATAAGTTGGCAGACTAGTACAATTTTTTTGTTTTAGTTTTTAAAACTTCATATTTCCTATTTTATCTTCTTGCATGGTGTTGTATTTGATGTTGAAGTATTATATATGCATGATATCCATATCTCCATGTCTGGACAAAAAGTATGAAAATATCTTCATTTTTTGGTCGGACATTTATTTACGATTCGTGATCTCAATTTATGATAAAACTTTCTTTAGTATCAGATTACTGGTATCGCATGGCGCGCTCACAACGTCTTCAGATTTAATTTTACCGATTGAGCAAAAATTTTTGTTAAAGCTGCTTGCAAGGGACTAGAGAATATCGCAAGTTTCCAACACCATAAATATATATATATATATATATATATATATATCCCCGGACTAACCAGAGTGAGAGGCATTCGGTTTCTTCTGTTTGAAATCGTACATATTTTGGTCTATAATTCAACAATCTTTAAATCTTATCGGTAAATATAACATTTTATAGTATAATTATTTTTTTATTTTTTTAATAAAAAATGTCTGGCCAGCCTCGCATGCCATGATTTGATCGAATCCTTAGATTAATTAACAATAACAGATAGCACACTAGATTTAATTGGGTTTTTCGTTCGCAATAAGCCTGAGGTAAAAGCCCAAAGGAGTTACGCGCATGCTGCGTTAAATGACAAAACAGAGAGAGAATACGCTTAACTCCTTTGGGCTTCTGTCTCAGGAGTCAACAGGGTTATTGTGAACGAAAACCCCCTAAATCGTGAAAAAAAAACTACATCTAGTGTTCTATCTGTTATTTTTAATCTATGATCCAACCGATCACGTATGTTTTATAAACAGTGCAGCTTATCACCATAATACAGATTCACGTTAAAAAGCACCAGAAGAATAACTTTAAAATTTACTTTTAAAAAAAAAACTTAGATAATATTTTTGTCATTCCTGTTGTCTTTGCAGGGCTTGCAGCAGAAGAGAGGATAAAATATCTTGAAAAACCTAGAAAACATAAAAGTTGAACTTTTTTCGATTATGTATTTTTTGACTTTGAATATTCTAAACATTGATTTAGTTATTTTTTAACTATTCATTTATTTATTTTTAGGTAAAGCGCCCTGCGTTGCACGAGGATTTTGAAAATTGAAAAATATTTTTTTTGAATTTTGAAGGAAAAAATCTGATTTTTTTAGCCTTGTTACCCCCTGGTTCACATGGATTTCTATTCATTATATAAACTCATGTTTTTTTCACACATCTAACCATTTTTCCTTTTTCCCATTCAATCTTAATTTTTCCCTTAATCGCTTTTGCAATTTAATTATAATTTAAAATTCTTTCATTATTTTTTTTTACATAATTTTCCAGTTATTATAAAGGAATTGATTCTTGCTATAAACTAAAATTTTCAAATCCCTTTATCTTTACGAATTGATGATGTAAACCTTTGATATTTCAAACTTAGATCATTTGATCTTTCAGAAACTATATTTTGAAAAATCTCAGGTCCACGACATTGAGTTGTAAAAATAAAAGGATTAGAAATTCAGAGTTTGTGGCAAAGACTCAAATTCTTTTTAAATTTAATTCATAGTTTGCTTACAGGATATACAGAGCACCCAGTCCAATAATAATCCAGCCTGTGATAAGAACAACTATTGTCAGATAGTATAGAACTATATCACACTCTAGAGTTCCATCCTGAACATGGATAATATAGATAATATAGAACTATATCACATTCTAGAGTTCCATCCTGAACATGGATAATATAGATAATATAGAACTATATAACACATTCTATAGTTTTCCATCTTGAACATATATATATCTTCTTCTTTTTTAAAACCTATATATATATATATGTTTAAAATGTTTAGTATGAAATGAAATAATCCTTAGCGACATTGCGTAACAAAAAGAGAAAAGACGATAACGAGAAATCCGCTGCTTTCTGGTTCTCACTATACAAAAAAAGATGCTTCTATGGCATAATACAAAAGAAGAATGTAGAGTGAAAAGTGTTGTATCCAGAGATCGGATCTTTTGTCTGGATATTGTTTTATTTTGAACACTTGATCTCAATATCCAATGTAAGCACTGTTATATTTAAAAATCAATGCTAATTCTCTCAATTAAAGTTATTTCTGCAAAGTACGACTATAACATAATATTAAATAAGAATTAAGGTAAACTGTAATGCTTGATCCAGAGTTCTGACTGCAAAAACATTTTTACGAGGTAAAGTGGGTGGATTATAGCCAAACCTCTTTCATGTTACTAACTGGGCATCCCNAAATTCCCGAAAAATTTGTTGTACACAATTTTATCCTCTTTTCAAAACTTCGTAGAATTTCCTTAATTGTCCCAAGGGACGTAAAGTAACTTAACGTCCCTCATAGGCCGGTAATCTTGCATGAAAACTGAAAAGGCGTTAAACAAATTTTACCAGGTTGGTTTGAGGTTGGCTGGAGTCGTTAAGATGTTCTGTTACAACCTGAAGTAATGGTAACAATAAAATATGTTAGGTAATTTCCCAAATGGGCATTTTCCCAAGCATAAACTTCCCAAGTCTGTTCTAGCCTCAGTGCTCGGCCAGCTAGCCTTTTTTAAGCCACAGCACTCGGCTCCTTGTCCATCCTAGCTGCAGCCCCCCCCCCCTCCTCCGTTTCAGCCTGTGGCGCCTCAGAAGGCCTAACCTAACCTTTGGGAAGTTGCTGCTTGGGAAATTGCGCATTTGTGAAGTCCCTACTCGGCAAATTGACACTTGGGCAGAAATACAAATCGGTCGCCTTTAATGCCTACCATTAAATTATTAACCAATCAAACCAAACCATTTTGCTCTTTTTGTATTTACATTTTAATTGCATAGGAAATTATTAACTAGTGAAACTTAATAAACACAACGTGTAATGTAAAACATCAAATGATAAAGAAATTTGCCACAACCTTAATCCCCAAAGAGTATTTAAAAAGACCAAACACTTCACACTTTTTCTCTCAGAGACTTAATTTTTACCCGATCATAATGTCTCTAGAGTGTTATGACTATGCGATCAAAAAATATCGAGTTTGGTCAACTCTGCATTGAATAAATACTCTTTGTCTCTTGGGATGAAACTGGTAAGCCTATACGCTGGAAAGCTTTTTGCCCCCTTAATGTGCTTCAGTTAACAGAGATTTGTTCATTTCCTCCTTGCAACCTTCTTTACTCTCAGTTATAGGCCGGACATTGTTAAACTTCATGGACATTGTCAGATGTAAACAAAACTTTGATTTAAACTATTGCTGACAGCATGAGAGGGTGGCAGCCTCTGACTGTTAACAAGTTCGTTCTGCAAGAAAGCTGAGTCCTCAAGGACCAGGTCTGAAAACTTTAGAATGGGATATCCTTAATCCCGATATGTAAATTAATCTGGAGATTAATAACAAGAGAAGAACAAGCATTATTTAATCTGGAGATTAAGAAAAAGAGGAGATCAAGCATCAATCTCGATATCCACCATTCTAAAGTTTTCAGCTCAGGTTAGAGTTGATTTATACAAGATAAAGTAAGTAGTAAGTACATTCCTTCTTGTTATAAGATATGGTCCTATCAGCTTACAGTAATAGTCTCCTTAGTAAAGGAGAAGTGAAGGAACTGGTTCTGGCTATGGTGGGCTACAGAAGCCTGCTAGTAGATGTTGGGTAAAATTACCTCCACCCTGAACTTGTAATCTGGTAACTAACAAAGCTATTTAGAGTTGTAGGATTCATGAATACCTTGTGATTTTAAGCCAGTTCTGGACCATTCTTAGCTTTGCAAATGTTTTTTTTTTGCACGTAGGCTTATCCATTTCATTCACAAGAGACAAATAGCATGTTCTCTTTTGTCTAACACCCTTTATAACTTTGCAACATGATATTGAAAACCTTGGATATTTCAAACTTAGATTATTTGATCTAACAGAATTCATAGTTTGAAATATCTAAGGTTTACACATTGGGTTGGCAACAAGGGTGTAGACAGAAATATATATCTAGGGGGGTCGAACAAATTTTTTGCCCCCCCCCCTTAGGAGCTTCTAGGGGGGGGGGGACAAATTTTGAACTATAAATTCAAAACATATGGCTTCTTGGATACTTTAAAGGTACAAATTCAGTCCAATTACCATACAAGTACTACTTTCTCTCTCCATCAACTAGCAGAAAAAAAAACAGCTAACTAATTTGTTTATGCTCTGCATTCTTCAGTTTCAGATTTTTGAAGTGTGATAGCTACGTCCCGTGCACCTTTTACGGGTCTAGGGAGGGGAACTGCCCCCTTGCCCACCCCGCCGCTGTATACGCCGTTGGTTGGAAAAGAAATAGGAATTAGAAAATCAGAGTTTGTGGCAAAGACTCAAATCCTATTTGATCAAAATTTGAAATAGAAAAATAGAATAAAATTTGAAAATTAAAGAATAAAAAATATCTAACCTGGATGTTAATCTTGCTTACAAGGATGTCAGAAGTATTTTTAAGGGTTCCGAAAGCCTAAATGATTTAAAATTAAACTTTTCCTAGAATTCAGAAAACCTAGAAAATAAATAAACACAAAACAAATTTTAGAATAAAGAAGACAGAATTATTGAAAATAGAGAAACTTATTTTTAACAAATTAGAAAGCTTTAAAATATAGAAAACTAGTTTTCAGAATCAAGAAAGCTTCAAAATAAATTTAAAAAAATGTTTAGGATTGAATTGTTCTGCATGCTTTTCATTGAACATTTTATTTTGGAATAAATTGCTTTATTGCAATTTAAAACCTCGCATTACCGTTAAATACATTTTTCTTTAGAAAGGGATAAATAAAAAGCTGAAAGCTTTAGAATGAGATATCCTTAATCCCGATTTCTTAATCTGAGTATCCAATGGACACACTTTTGATTTTCTTCTTAAACCGTTCTTTCTTGGATATAGTAGAGAAAAATCCAAAACCGTTTTTTCTAAATTAGAGAGTTCCTTCCATTTCTGTATATAAACTTAAATGGTGCGCAAAATTTCAAATTTATTGGCTTCATATACACGAATCTGAATGGTTGAATTTTATACACTTTTCAGGCTTAAAGTACAAGATTAGATTAGTCTCTATATTAAGAAAAAGAGAGGATCAAGCATTAATCTCGATATCCACCATTCTAAAGTTTTCAGCTCATATTTTTTTTCTTTATTTTAATTTTTAGCTGGAGTATTTTCTGGTAAGAAAACAGGACAAAATGACAAAATGATATGATAACATTCTCAAGAATAGGAAAACACTTCAATAAAATATTCTTCCAAAATATCAATCTAGTTTTTATCTTCTGTTTTATCCACAAATGTAAAAAGAAACATATTTTTCGACCTCCAGAGTTGATTTTATCACTGGATTTAACTTTGCAGAACAAATGTTATAAAATGCCCAAGTTGTAAAAACCTTTTCAAAAAATATATTTTTTAAATTAGATACAGTTTATCATTTTTAACTACTTATAGTTTTCAATATCTTATTAAAACTTACAGAAGAGCAAGAGTAAGAATTAGCCACTAGCCTCGAGTATTTTAAGTAAACTTTGACATAGGCTATAAATTTTGTTCATTTTTTTAACACTTTGTTATATATTTTACCGTGGTGATGTCCTCTCCCAAAATATGTCTGTAGGGTTCGATGACTGAAGCTGTTCCAGCGATCAACCAGACTAAAATAATAACATTTTTATATTTTAGGATCAACCAGACTAGAATAATACATTTCAGATCAACTAGACTAAAATAATAACATTTTTACATTTTTATATTTTATGATCTAACAGACTAAATTAATCTCATTTAATTAAGGATCAACCAGACTAAAATAATACATTTCAGATCAACCAGACTAAAATGATAACATTTTTTATATTTTAGATAACCAGACTAAATCAATCTCATTTTAGGACCAACCAGGCTAAAATAATACATTTCAAGTACTAAAAGAAATCACATCTTAAGATCTAAGAGTAAAATAATTATAAAAAACAATCTAAATACTAATCAGGAATATCTAAAAGTATACTCATAATTTACTTTCTGTTTAAATTTACATATGGAAATTACTGACAGTCATGTCAAGATTTTTTAGGTTTTAAATAAATTATGATTTTTAATGTTTGTTTTTCTAGTTTATAGCTAAGGCTCAAAGATAAAACCATGATATTTTCAATACAATCTCTGCTATTTGATAAATCAACAATTTTCTATTCGTTTCTAATTATTATTTTGTCACTGGACACTAAAAATACTCTGAGATTATCAAAAAGTTTAGTTTCCTATTACGCGAAATTACGGCGTAATTGCGCGAAATCAAAGTTTCGATAATTATGCGTAATTATTACAAAATTTCGCGAATTTACGTTGTAGAAATTACGCGAAATTACGCCGCAATTTTGCGAAATTGAAGTTTCGCCAATTACGCGAAATCCTGCGAAATTACACGAAAAGAAAATTATTTCGTGTAACTGCACGGAATTTCGCGTAAGTGAATAATCTATACGTTGGAAACACTCCTGCTGAACAATAAACTTAGGAATGAGGAATGGTTTAATAGATTGTTTAGAAAAGAAATCCATCCATTAAAACTTTTAAACTCGTTCTTTTGATTCAAGTTTTTAAAGGAAATGAAAAGATGCGCCTCACATTTTGATTACTTCTTTCCATAATTTAAGTTGTGCACAGTGTTATAAAATAATTCAAGAGCTCAACATTTTGATATGTAAAAAGAAAATCTCTTACAATTAAAAAAAAATATTCCCATCTTAAAAGGGACTGTAAGCGAAATTTTAAGTGACCCTTTATTCAAGGTTGGCAATGCCCTCTTCACAACCATTCTAGGTTTAAAAGTTTTTAAATTCTGAACAATCCTATATTTTTTCCTACAGTTATAGAAATGCCAAGTCACTTTTGTAGAGCACCCCCAAATGAAAATAATAATTTTTCAAAATTATAATATTAATTTCTAATTCATACTTGATTAGACAAAGCTTTCAAGGGTAGGATTCTAAATCAGGGATTATCATCTTTACATGAAGAACCACTTTAAATTACGCTTACAATCCCTTTAAAGAAGAAGTGCATGGCATACCTGCTGCAATGAGCATGAAACCAAGATCATAAATTAACGTAAATCCACATTTCAAGATCTGTCCTCCAATCCTTAAATATTCATTTCTTTCAGAGGATGATGAAAAGCATAAATTCCAAAATATAGAAATAGATTCCACATTCCTAAAAATTTCTCGACAATTCTTACATTCTTGTTCGAAAATATACCAAACCGTTGATCAATAGTAAAAACCAAAGTTTTCAAAATAAAGTGCTCAAAAAGGTAAAAGTTAAAAGTGTATGTAGGCACTGATATATCTGAAAACTAATGTGTTAAATTGACTTTTAACAAAAATTAAGGAATTTTCAACTAATTTAAGAAATTTGTAAACAATGTGTTAACATCAGTCCAATTTGTTAACAGAAAATAACTTAGTTTTAACGAATCACAAATATTAAGAGGCGTTCAAAACTGCATGTCGAGTAATGAGAGAAGCCATTTTTATTAACTTTGAACAAATTAGAAACAATTATAAACTAAGAAGGCAGAATGTTCCACGCTAATCCATCATTAGTTTGTCAATTTCATTTAAAATAAGTCTGCAGTACATAATAAGTTTAGTAAATAATTACTCATCCATGTATGCATATCCATGAATTCCTTAATTCCGTAGTGCTTCCGAAAATTGAAGAAATTGTCAGAAGTAAACATATTTCACGTTATAATAACGACGATATATAAAATCTTCCTTATTAATAATATGATCAATAAAATTATATTATTTTGAATAAAATATCCCTAGGGTTTCCAACGCAAGTGGATTTTAATTGCGCGCAATTGCGAGCCCTGTAAACTCCGCGCAATTCCGCACAATTCGAGAACATTTGCAGCATTCCTCTATCTTTCAAATATAATCTTTCTTTTGAGAAATATGTTCCTAACCATCTAATTAGATTACTGTATAATTTTTACTTTATTTTTTTTGGTCGTCGTTATTTAATAATTAAAAAGAAACTAATTTGAAAAACGTATCCACCCCCAAAATAGGAGTTTTGAACGTCGAATTTGCGCTCAAACTCAGGATTTACAGATCTTTAAAAGTTTTAAATGTCTCAAATGAATCCGAAAGAAGTTTTCCACAACACTGCATACTCAGTTCAACTACCTAACATAGCCGGCCACTCCCTTTAAAGATCACTTAAAATTACAATGAACGTTCCTTTAAAACAAAAAGCCGTCTTTTCGCAGTGACTGAATGATTGACCGTATTGCGAACTTAATGCTAAAAATAAATGTTATTGTGAAAATATTTCTAAATTATATAATAATTTTTTTTTAATTTCTTGAGTTTATATTACATGAATTCCCCGCTAAAACTCCGAATAAACAAACATTAAACCCTTTCATAATAAACAAATAAACCTTCAAAGAATTTTTCAAAACGTTCAAATCGTTCTTTATCTAAATAGCATTCATTCTGATACGTAATAATATTATATTTTGTTTAAACAACTAGCTTTGTGATTTTCAAACTGATGTTTTAATGTTTTAATGTTTATCAAGACTTTTAATCCAGTTTTTTTTTTTGTTGAACTCGACAGTATAAAATCTGCGAAATTGACGAGAAATTTTTCGTTTGAAAACGAGGAATCACTTGAATTGCTTAAAATAAAAATTGTATAATATTTTATTTAATTCTTTAGATAAAACTTACCCTTTTCAGTATTTCACGAATGAAGAGGCCAATCATGATGATTGAACCACCTAGATAAATACTTCAATAAATAAACTAATTAAGTTGGGATATCTAAAGAAATATACATTTCTATAACTGTTCTCAGTGTATAAATGACTAATGCACATTAAAAATCGTCAATCTGGCCGGCAACGGCTTATCAAGAAAGTTGTGGATCAAATATTGAAGAAAAAACAGTCAAGGGTGACAAGGTCTCTTAAAATACGTTGATATTCCCTGAAAGTGTCGTCTTCTAGTTCTTGGCGGCAATTGAATTTTTAATAAAAAACCTAAATCTTTTACAATTCCCATAGTTTTGGAATTTTTTAAATTTTTTTGGGGATTTGAAATAACTTTTTAGATTAAAATTCATTTAATAAATTTAATTAAACCAAAACAATCTCAATTTTTTTCTGTTTAGGAGGGCACTCTGTACTGTTTAGGAGGGCACTCTGTACTGTTTAGGAGGGCACTCTGTACTGTTTAGGAGGGCACTCTGTACTGTTTAGGAGGGTACTCTGTACTGTTTAGGAGGGCACTCTGTACTGTTTAGGAGGCCACTCATGTACTGTTTAGGAGGGCACTCTGTACTGTTTAGGAGGGCACTCTGTACTGTTTAGGAGGGCACTCTGTACTGTTTCGGAGGGCACTCTGTACTGCAAAAAGTGCATATTGATTTCAGCTTAGCAAATAACACAATGCATTTTTTGTTAGAAACTTCTCACACTCTTTCTTTACATATAATATATATAATATTTTACGATAAAAATTCCAGTTTACTATACTGCAGTAGTATCACGCGTGACAATTAAATTTGAGATTTCTAAGTTTTTGTCCCAGTTTTACAAGCATACTTACACAAAGCATATCTGTATGTATGTAAAATATATATTTATACAGAATAACATTAGACCGGCCAGGTTGTTGTTAAAATTGTGTTTACTTAAAACTGTGAATATTTTCAAATTGTGCAGATATTTCTTTAAGTTTTGAGGAATAATTATTTTCATCGGCTTAAATATAGAAAAGTATTTTTGGAAATATTTTTAAATATTCAATTGTCTAAACTTGAAAATTTGAAAAATAAAATGCTTGGTTTAATTATTGCAAAGTTTTAAAATTTGTCTACTTGTTCACTGCAGAAGAAAACAAATCTTTTTTGTCTATTTAAAGATTATGGAGAGAAGTTTCAGATTATTTCAAAATAAAAAATGTTTTTTGATTTTATTTTTAAAAAATTGTAAAATACAATTCTATGACTTTTTTATTCAACAAACACGTGATTACTTTTTCGATTGTGATTATAAGAGATTAAACGGAAGTGTGATGTGTACAGTGCAATAGGTTCATAAAGTGTACAGTGAACTATGTACCATGTACAGTGTAGTGCATTTTTGTGCAGTGTACTGTATATTTGTACAGTGTACTGTATATTTGTACAATGTACTGTATATTTTTACAGTGTACTGTATATTTGAACAGTGTACTGTATATTTGAACAGTGTACTGTATATTTGAACAGTGTACTGTATATTTGTACAGTGTACTGAATACTTGTACAGTGAACTATGTACCATGTACAGTGCACTGTATATTTGTACAGTGTACTGTATATTTGTACAGTGAACTATGTACCATGTACAGTGTACTGTATATTTGTACAGTGTACTGTATATTTGTACCTGTAATATTAAAGAGCGGCATTCCTGGCGCTGACCTGCAGCCGTCCAAATAGTGAATATGGGGCAGATTTAGAGTTCCAATCACAACCTTTTTAAGGAATTAATCAATTAACCAAGTAATTAATCAATCAATTAGACAATACATAGATCATTCATTTATCAATTATAATGAATTTATAAATTAATAAATCATTCATCAAATCTATAGCTGATCGAATATTATATCATTTAGTTTATTAATTTATTTCTTCCATTCACTTTTCAAAAATTGAGTTTATTAAACAATTATCATTCAAAAAATCTATTAATATATTTTTTCAGCTTATCTGTCAATCATTCAATTAAACAATTTATTCTTCTATTGATTAATCAATTATTATGATTTCAGTTGAATAAAAAGATCAATTAATTACTCAGTTTGCCCATATTAATTAACAATCTATTTAATAATTGATCCATTTTTCACTCAATTTAAAATTGAATATTCAAATAAATGATTAACAGTTTCTTCAATTAACAATTGAACTTGGTTAATTAGTTGAGTGATTGTTGCAATGAAAAAATGACCAGCAAAATGAGGTAAAATTAGAAAATATTTAAAACCATTGATGGACTTTTAGTGCAGTCATTAACACAAGATATTATGAACATTTTGTTCAATTATGGGTTCATAAAGTTCAAAAGAATTTCATGTTACCTTTACAGAATTGAACATAGTAATCATAGTAATAGATCAATTTACGATCAAATTGTGGTTTCAGCAAAAAACCATTTTCATTTTTTGCAAACACTCCCATTAAACCTATTTTCAAGGTATTTTCCAAGGGCGACTTTCCAAGTGGCGATTTCTTAATTGTGCAATTTCCCAAGTGCCAACACCCCAAAGGTTAGGTTAGGACTTCTGAGGCTAGGAGACCGAGCTCTGCGACTAAAACGTGCTAAAGGGCCGAGCACTGTGGCTAGAATAGGCGAGGGGACCGAGCACTGCGGCTAGGATTGACTTGGAAAGTAGCCGCTTGGGAAATTGCACAGTTGGGAAAATAGCCGCTTGGGAAAAAGCCTTTTGGAAAGTACAGAGTGTTCCAGGAAACATGACGGTTGGTGAATAGTTTAAAATGTCTTCTTCCATAATTTGATAAGTTGTTTGATACTAAAGAGACAGTAGACTAATAACATTTTTTATATGACAGTTAATTTATAGTAAAATTGATTTCACAGCAAAATATATGAGTTAAACATTTTTTAAAAGAANATTATTTTAGGATTTGTTAAAGGGACTGTTAAACTATTATTTTAGGATTTGTTAAAGGGACTGTTAAACTATTATTTTAGGATTTGTTAAAGGGACTGTTAAACTATTATTTTAGGATTTGTTAAAGGGACTGTTAAACTATTATTTTAGGATTTGTTAAAGGGACTGTTAAACTATTATTTTAGGATTTGTTAAAGGGACTGTTAAACTATTATTTTAGGATTTGTTAAAGGGACTGTTAAACTATTATTTTAGGATTTGTTAAAGGGACTGTTAAACTATTATTTTAGGATTTGTTAAAGGGACTGTTAAACTATTATTTTAGGATTTGTTAAAGGGACTGTTAAACTATTATTTTAGGATTTGTTAAAGGGACTGTTAAACTATTATTTTAGGATTTGTTAAAGGGACTGTTAAACTATTATTTTAGGATTTGTTAAAGGGACTGTTAAACTATTATTTTAGGATTTG